TTCATTTTAATTGGCACAAAAGTAATTCCATAGTAAACAGGCTGCATTGCTTTCCTGCAGGCAGCTTGACGCTGCAGCTTGGCTTTACCTCCTCTATCCACTGGATGGCAGTATCATATACTATGAGTTTCACACAAATACCAAGATAACAAGATATATTTCAGAGGTTCAGACAGTTATATAAGGCTTAAGTAGTAACACCTACCTTTATACAGGTGTTTATTTCATTGCTGTATAATAAGTGAAGATCACATAACACAGGCCTGCCACAATTACAATAATTTGTTTATTTGATATATATATATATATATATTTTAAAGGGCCATTAACATTGAACTGACTTCAAAGGCACTTCCTCATTTTTGTTGATCTTGTCGACCCTTTATCCTGTTTTGACAAGGACTCACAAAAGCCTAACTCAGGGAGACAGGTAGCACTTTCCAAAAACAACAACTCCGAGGGAGTTTAAAGTTGTTGAGACAAAGAGTGCATTGTGCATTTTCCCATGCCTGAAACATCTTAGTTTGTAGTCAAATAAGGGCGATAGAACACACTGTACTCATAACACGGCTTTTTTCAGCGCTATGAACTATATGCCTGGACCATGGTATGAAAATACTGATTATTTTTTAACAAAAAACATCTCAAATGTTCATCTCAAATTTTAGTATGCAATTAAGGAATCACTGTCATTCTAAAAAATGCTGGGTTAAATATAACCCAGCGCTGGGTTATATTTAACCCAGCATTTTTTTAGAGTGTGGATTGAGATTCAGCTAAGTCTAATGTATAATATTGATATTTATTGTATTACTGAATGTACTAGATTATCAAATATAGTCTTATAGTCTTCACTACAATATTAGCATTTAAGTGAAAGTTTTGAGTAAATGTTATATATCAACTTAAAAGAATCTGCTGATTCCGATGACATGGCAAGGCACTTTTTTTCACATGTACAATAAAATACATTTATGAGACAGTTGTATCTCAAGTTATTTGTCTTGCTCAGTATTTATGCACAATGGCTCACTATTTTTCGTTCCCTCCTTCACCACTGCCATTCATTATAGGAGGCTGCGAATGAAAGTGAGTGAGTGTTTCAGGATGAATGTCTGGAATGTTGCGATGACAGAAAAGCAGAGTGATACAAATAGTGAAACACCCCAGTGCTGTGACACTGTATTTCAGTTACACTGTATGGAGCACACTCAAATTTGAGGACCAACAGTTATATGAATGAATGAAGAGGTCAGTCATATAGAATAATGTGGAAGGTTGTAACATTGCATGCACCCTGAATGGTTCAAAGTGGTTGTTTTCATTTCAGATCACACTGAAGCGGTCTGATGGTTCCTCACTCTCCACTGTTTGATGAAGCATCGCTCAGTGGAATGGTCATGAGCAGGGGACAGTGAGGACAGTGAGACACATGGACTGCTGTTGCATGCTACAGTGATTGTGCAGAAATGAAAGCAGAAAGTTCATGCTGTGCTGCATATCATTTTTCACTGATGTGCTTCAAAAGATTTCTAACGGCTTAATGTTGATGGTTCTTATGTAATCTGACTTATGCACTCTCAGAAAGAAAGGTACAAAAGAGTTTGTGCTTCAAAGAACAAATTCGTCCCTTTCCATTAAATGTGCGTTAGAAATCTGCACACTGGAAAAGCTTTCAAATCATTTCGTAGCTGCCTTTTATGGTTATGGTTAACATTCCTGTTTTTCATGTTTACATAAAGGCACTAAGCCCAAGACATCTTTAAAAAGACAGCACACAATAAAAGCAAAAAAATTGAATTTGCACTCATTTATTTTTCTATTTTTCATCATTTGAAAGTTTAAAAAATGTAAATGTATATTGTGTTTTGAATGGACATGTTCATATTTGAAATCACGTTTTTTTTTTTTGGAAGTTTTCCTTTCATTGCAATCTTTCACTGTATTATAATAAACTGACAATGCCACATTATTGCACGGTATTGGTCTTATCAAATAACATATTTGAAAATCCATAATTGATGAGATTTTGCTGTGAAAGCCCACTAAAACCATATGCAGTATTTCACTCAAATAAACCACTGAAAGCATAGCTTTCACGTTTGTTGGAATTCACAGCACATAATTTCCCTGTGGGATTGCTTATTAATAATGTTCATTCTACATTGATGCACTGTAGGGGGAAAACAAACATAAAATGCCATATTAAGGCATTCCAAGGCTGCAAAGTATTAGTTGACACCCAGACTTATACTTCCAAAACACAGGCCAAAGATTCAAAGACTGTTATTTACATGTGATTTTCCTTGGGATATTTAATGTTATGCCCTAAATATAAACATATCCATCTGCTGACTGAAACTAGAATAAAGGTTAAATATATTATTCTGTTTCTTGTTGGGAAGCTTATGCAGAAGTGTTTTTGGATTCTAAATACCCTGAATTAGGTCAGTCTTAAGCACCTTTGCATTCTGTGAGGAAAAAAAAAAGTACAAAAACAGAAAAGGTGATTTCTGCCAGGGCATTATTCATTCAATTGGAAAATGTCCTTTTACCCTAAAAAGAAAAAACCCTTCATATTAACACAGTGCATTGTGCCCTATTTTTACAGACTTTTCTTAGAGTGTGTAGAATTTTGTTTTGTTTTTTGCAGACCTAAAGTTGTTATTTACTGCCGTAGGTCACAGTGAGATTCTGGGATAAACTCATTTAGTTACACAACAGGATTTGAGCTGAGCTCTGAGTGCATGCTATCCTTATGGAGAAAAGGAATAATTGTCCCAAATGTTGCCAGCTAAGTGTCTCCTTTTTTTGTTTGGAAGTCATTCAAAGTATTTTTATTTTTATTTTTGAGCCCTGAGCAAAATAAAGGCTGTTTCTCAATCCATGCACATGTTTATCCCGGTGTTTATTTGTGTCTTAGGCTACCCAATTGGTTTTGGTTTAGATGTCTTTTCCCATTATAGAAACAATAAACAGCTCAAATATGTCTCACATTTAGCTTTCATACTAAAAAAATGTTGTTTATATGTTCTTTTATTGATATATTATTCTTGATTACTAGATCACTCTCACAGTGATCAGAACATACTTGAAAATTAAACCGTGGGCTACTAAAAAGGACGCTATAGAGTCTGTTCTGTTTCATTTATTTTAATTGTTAATTTATTTATTTCTTTATGTAAAAAAAGGAGAACGTTTTCTGTGAGTGTTGTGGTTAGGGTTACGTTTAGAATAAGAGAACAGAATAGAGTTCGTTGCTACCCCTTACGAAAAAGAAGTTTATTCAAGTTCAGATATTCATTTAACAAAATATATACAAATTAATACCTAAATAGGGACATAGTAGTAAACTTAAAGTATGATGTAAAGTTCAGTTAAAGAAAACTTACGAGTATACTTGCAGTATAAAACTACTAAACTAGTAGTTTACTAAGACTATACTTCAAAGTGTAGTAAAAAACAAGTACTACAAGTATTTAATTAGTAAACTATCAGTATACCTATAAGTTCACTTTTAGTATAGTTGCAGTACAAACTAAACATTTTGATGTAAACTAGTTGTGTACTCAAAGTTTACTACTGTTATACTTAAAGTATACTTAAAAGTATACTTTTATATACTAGAAAGTGGGCCAATTTAGTCCCAAGGAGTATTGAAATAGTACACTTACAAGTATACTACTAGTACACTGATATTTGTATACTTGCTACATAAAGTATACTTAAAAATATGCTTGAACTTTACTTAAGTATACTTAATAAAATAAACTTGAAGTATACTACTTTTTGGTAAGGGACAGCTGTGAAAACATTTTCCCCCTGACATATAGGAATGCAGTTGTAATTTGTACTTTGTCCTTAATATCATTATCATTATCATCATTAACAATAAATAACGAGAAGATCCATCGTTAAAGTGTAGCATCATTAAATGTAAAATTCCATAAAAGTTCAAGTAGGCTACCACAAATATTGATCCCTTTACTCAAAATAAATCATTTCAGTATAACCTCTTTTGGTGTTTATGTTTGTAAATTAGAAGTAAGCTTCAATGGCGTCGTTAAAACTCTCAAAGTAGTCAGTTTCGCAATAATAAGTCTCTAATCTTTATGATGCATAACAGGTGTCGTATTTCTCGGCGTCGACTCAACGCATGCGGCGCTGATTGGATGAGACCCTTTGTCGACTTCACATGAGCCAATGACAAAGCTCCGCGCTTGTCCATCGATTATCAAGCGGATAGAGCGCTTCTCCTGACGTCACAGAGCAGCCAGTCGAGCTCATGTTGGGAAGTCTGATTCATTCTCGCGAATCGGTTCTTTCGAACAGTTTGTTCATCGGTTCTTTTACGTCCACACGTGATATTTTCATGCTTCAAACATAATGATTTGTTAAATTCGAGCTTGGCACTCAGTTATTGCCTCATTTTGTGGCAGACCTGACTAAATAAGCGGTGCAGTAAATTTGTATTACTATTATTTTATTATAATAGCTACAATCATTCCTATTGAAACGGGGAGATGTTATTTTTAATTTAATGCATTTTTTTTTTTTATAAAATGTGTATATAACATGATATCGAAGGATTTGATATGTCCACGCAGTATCAAATCTCTTGAGAAACGGCAGGGCAGTTGGATTTTTTGAACCGAACTCGCGAACCGGTTGATGCAAAAGTGAACCGGTTCACGAGTCCGAACATCACTAGTTCAGGATTGGACCACACATTTCGCCCAATCTGTGTTACCAGCAGCAACAGAGAGAATCGGGAGCACATTCATAGGTGTCATTGGCACAGAGCGGAGCGCTGGCTGTCATCCTCAACAAAGGAATGGTTTGAGCGCACTGTCTCCATGGTGATGCCGTGTATCAGACATATATCATCCATAGGTTGTGTCATGCATTCAAGGAATAGGTGAATCGCGCGTGCCAGAAGAAGCCTTTTGCGCCAGTGTGCGCATTTGGAGAGGCGCATCAGCCGTGATCAGACTAATATAATGTTGCGCTTCACAGCTGGCAGGCTGCTTGTCGGATTGTTCTTTTTGGGTTTTTTGCACAGTTTGGTGGTGGTTCTTCCAGCACCAATAGATGGTGAGTGTATTTGGCATATGTATCATCATACAACACCCACTTTGAATTCTGCATCTGTTGCCGTGCATGTAAGACATCATATCAATACGGAGCATCCTTTGAGACCCAAACTGCGTTAAATCGGAGTTTCTTTCGCTATCCGAACCGAATGTCACCAGTAAGAAAAAAGGTAGATGGCAGGTCTCATAATGGATTAGATAACGGTTTACGTTGAAGTAGCCAGCGCACGCATCACACAACCAGCTCAGGAGTGCAGATGCATTGATAATCAATGGATGAACCATCACAGCGCACATGCCCAGAATACAACGTGACACATGCAACTTTTCCACATCATGTGCACTGATCTTGCACCAGACAGAATGCCTGTTATTGACCATTTGGAGGTGCAAATATATTAATAAACATGAAGTTGTGAACCTAGAACTTGAACTGCGTTTTGCAGAAGAGGCATTGTCATGTCCAGCTAGTCATTTTGATGAGGTCTAGTCCTTCTTTAATGAAGGAGATTGTTTGTTCAGATGTGTTTTGTTGAATCAGAACTCTCTCATCTGCAGTCCACCAGGCCCTCTCCATCAGTGACATGCATTTGTACAGGAAAGGACGGAATGGTGGTCTTTGGACTGAAATGCATTTTGGATTGCTGCTTCTTTGAGCCTTCACGTCTCTTTGAAGGCTTTGCTGTCTGTCTTATTATTTTTTACATACACGGTCTGTAGCTACTGAAGCTCAGAAGGTGAAGTGCTTTGAGCAGACAAATGAGCTTCAAGATGCAAGATTTGTGATATGGATATATTAGGAATCATCTAGAATGGTAAGACAGTTGTTCATTCTGCTTTTAGTGCTGGAAATGCTGTTCTGAAGTGAACCAATTGATGATGAATGTGCGTTTGAACTTGTTTGTGTGCAAGCACAAACCACAGACTTCTTTGTTTCTATATAAAGCTCCTCATAATTACTACAGACTGTTCTTGCTATGGATGAAATACTTCATGCTTCTTCAAAACTTAAAAAAGTAACACTTTGTATTAATTATTTTGATATTGAGAACATCCCAAAGGGAGATTTTGGCAGATTGAACTAACTTACAGGAACAGAACAAGTTTGTCTACAAAGTAGCTTCGCATACTTACTAACCTACATACATATTTATCTCATTGTTTTGCTATTGAGTAAACGTAAAACATTTTCTTAAAGGTATAGTTCACCCAAAAATTTAAATTTGCTAAAAATGCACTCACCCGCAGGCCATCTAAGATGTAGATGAGTTTGTTTCTTCATCAGATTTGTAGAAATATAGCATTCCATCATTTGCTCAGCAATGGATGCTCTGCAGTGAATGGGTGCCGTCAGAATGAGAGTCCAAACAGTTTATAATAACATCACAATAATCCAGTCACACTCCAGTCCATCAGTTCACATCTTGAGAAGCCAAATTCTGTGTGTCATTAAGATTGCTTATTTAAGGCTAAAATACAAGTCCTCTATTCATTGTTTTTTTTTTTTTCAGTGAAAAAGTTGTCTTGTCTGAATCAGGAGAGAAATATGCACAGATTAAGAAGTCCAAAAACAGTCCAGAGCAGTTCTAAACAAATATGTGGCTGAAGTTTGATGTGAGAGGACAGCTATCTTTCTGTCGCTCGGCTCGGCTCGGCTAATGTCCGTCCCATGCACTGAACGCGCTCTCCTCCACATCACGAGTAGACACGCCCCTTATTGCTGATTGGCTACAAGTTTGTTTTGCGATTCGGCCCGAATCAGTTTTCTAAAGTGTTTTTGAAGAATCACTTACTCTGCCTTTAATGATGGATTTATTTATTTTATTTAAAACTCTGCAGAGAATCCATCGGTGAGCAAGTTACTGTATATAATGCTAAATTTCTCCATGTTTCTAACAGACTTCAAAGTGCAGGTACATTGTTTACATTGTTCTGCCATTACGAATGAAAACATGTTTATTCGTTTGAGTAGACCGAAAACATTTTCTTAAAGGTGTAGTTCACCCAAAAATGAAATACTCTGACTATAACACAGTATTTTCTCACAATGGTCGTTTTAGCGCTGTATAGAATATGCATTCTCACTGAGCTGAAAGACTTCATGTTCAGTGGCTGGCTAAGCTCATCAATGGTGTTAATTAAGGGGCCCCTATTAGAGAAGTACACAGAAGGTTGCTGTTGTCTCTGGGGCCCTTTGAGGCGACGCACACTTTCGTCTCCCTCTTAAAGCAACCTCCAAAACAAGGAATGAACATACCAAAATTCTTTCAAAAGTATCGTCCAGTTTAAAGCATACCCTGAGATGACAGGCAAATGTACAGTTTAATTAATAGTGAGTAATGACAGACAAATATTTTAAGATGATCAGTTGTCGCTCACCTGGCTGTGGCCCAAAATCTGTCGGCCGTAGATAGATAGATAAAAAAAGATTTTTAAAAAATTATACATTTTTAATGACTTTTTAATTAATATGGCGTTAAATTAGTTTCACTTGGGTGAAGCTGGAGTATGTAATGTTAAAATACATTGTCGTATCCCAACTTAACATGCAAGTATAAGAAAGCAATTTGTCCTCTGAAAAGTGCAAGCACTCTGACTCTGTAACACCGTCTAAACATCCTGAGCATCTCAACTATTATTTTTGCAGTTCCATTTGGTGATGTTAGTGATGCAGAAATTGCACTTCATTTTAGCAATTTATTGTACAGCACAATTGCTCTCGTTGAATTGTGTTATGTATATTTTGCCATTATGTAGGCCATCCAGCCATATATGTTCTCCAGAAAAACCAGAACTGCTTATCCTGACCAATGTGACTTTATAGTGGATGTTTTGGTTGAAACTGAGTAGAGACTAAAGGGATCATTTACTCACCGTTCTATAGATATAATCTTATGGCTTTTCTTCTCTCATAAAACACAAAAGGAGATGCCCCTGCAATTACAGTGACAACATATGATGACTAAAATCCCAAAAGTTGTTCATACGACCCATGCACTATATTCCAAGTCTTCGGAAGCCATATGGTTGCTTAGTGTGAGTAGCAGACCAGCTGAGAGGATAACAATTTTTTGTATTTTTTTTTTTACTGTTGTGCTGGAGTTGAACAAACTTCCACTTGAGTCCATTCAGCCAGTTTTGTTTGCAGCCAATGTCTGCAAATTTTCCTGACAGGTAACCTACTCCCTAAGGGGTGGACATTTCAAGAGTTTGAGCTGATAGGAAACTCTTAATAAGAGCTGAAGAGATATTATACTGTACACGTTCTGCACAGCCCAGGAAAGACAGAGAAAGGAGGAAATAAACAAGGTTGAGACAGACGAGTGTGTTCCCCACCCCCAACCTCAGTCTCCTTCACTCAACTGTGAAACACATCTGGATCGGGAAAGGTCATTTGTTTGGAAGTATGCATGTGGAGAGGGTGGAAAAGAGGGTGGATATTCTCTCAAACACCCTTTACACACTGATCGAACCCTTAGGCTCTTTCTGCATTTGTTTTGAAAAAGATGTTTGGTGGAGAAACCTGCAATCCCAGAAATGTGAAATATCGGAAGGAAGGAAGTAGCATGGATTGGGGAAGGGTGCATGTGAGACCTTTGAGCTGAAGTAAGATGACAGGAGAAAGACTGAGCTGCTCTTCCCCCTCTTTTATCCATCCTCCCCCTCGGCTGTGTGGGTAATGTTGCATGATGTGCTTTAATGATCTTAACTAGATAATTAGGTTTGGTGTGTGATTAGGGCACTTTGTTTATTCTATAGATTTAAAGCTAAACCGGAGATGGAAAATCTGTCATCACTAACTCAATTTGTATGACTGTCTTTCTTCTGTAGAAAGTAAAAAAGGAGAAATTTTGAAGAATGTTAACACTGCTCTTTTCCATACAATAACAGCAGTAATGACCAGGGACTGTTAAGCTCTAACACACACACACACACACACACACACACACACACACACACTATAAAAGTATATAAAAAAGTTACTTTTATGGGTTCCCAGTCATAGAATCGAAACAACATGCCTCTACTTACATTTTTGCAAAACTTCAAAACACCAATGCATGAATTCGTCGAATTCAAAACTAGTTTCGGCAAAAAACCAACAACTTTTATTCCTTTTCACACAAATTATGATAACAGGCAGAGATTATTAGTTAATAAAGACTTATTTTTGCAGTTTCTTGCACAATTCTGTTATGGCCTCAAAACACTTTTATCATAGCGCATGACTTCTGAACCAATTTTGATGTTTGCATCACATGACCATCTCCATATACAGTATATGGATTTTCTGACATAACATTCTTTTTTGGTAGTTCACTTGTTACAGCATTGCACTTGCGATACAGAGAGCTCTGACATGAGTCCCATGAAACACAAGCCATGATAAAAAAGCTTAAGCACTTGTAGAAGCCGGATAAAATTACACGGTTGCTTCAGCAGGCGTATTCTCACATTTGCTTTTGTTAAGACTATTAGTTAAGACACTAGACATTTCATTTCCAAACTGCCAAACTAAAACTAAAACAGACTTACTGTTTATGCCACTCATTGATCATTTCACTTCGAAAATGTGTAGAAACATGCAAGAATCAACATAATATCAATTTGCAGTTTTTCCAATAGGGCTGGACCAGAATATTCGATTATACGAATATTCGTTCGGTGGGTTGACATTCGATTTTCAATTTTGAGATTTGAATATTCGTTTTTTTTCTTTTTTCGAACACCTGGCATCCCCCGCGAAACGGTTCTCATTCGCGCTTGAATATGAATCGGCCATGAGTGAACGTCATGATTCAGTTCCCTTTCAGTCGGTCACTCTCGACGTCACGCCGGATGACCGACGAATTGGGATCTCGCTTAGAGAGACCAATCTACTTCGAGTGTAAACTAAACGAGCCAATGCACATTGGCATGCGATTATTGCATCCAGCTGCTGCTGATCACAGCGTGAGTATAAGTAGGCAGCAGATGCAGCGCATATTCAGCTTTTCGCTT